ATTGGTTTTGGTTTATTTCATAATATTCAAAAGAAAAACAATATATATAAAATTAAAATGATCAAAAAGTTAAAATGAATATGAATAAACGAACAGAAAATTTTAAAGAACATAATCCAAATCAAAATAATTGTAAATTTAATATTTTTATTATCATCATCGTGTTTGAATAGAAGAAATATCTATACATACCTTGTAAATAATATATATTATTTTTTTGCTAGCATTTGTCTAATTAGCACGTTAGTATCTAACTAAAATTTTTTAAACTAGTAATAATAATTTTTTTTTGAAAAAACCGAAAACCCAAACGGTTTTACGGTTTTAATCTGAAACCGAAATAGTTTTAAAATGTCAACCAAACGGGTTTATAGATAAAACCGAAACCGAACCGAAACACCTAATTACGGTTCGGTTTGGTTTTTTTTTTTCCACCCCTACCGTTCACATCGCCAGGAGCTATCTCGGAAGTCAAGACTTTAATTCCGCCACAATTACGAAGGTGCATGCTTGTTTTTCCTATGTGATTCCGGAAGCAGAAGAAAAAACAAAATTCCGAGATAGATTCCGGCGAGGAAAAGTCATTGGTCTGAAATTCCGACATGTTTTGTTTTGTTTCTGTGTGTTTGTACTAAGTTGTCGTCTTTTGTTGATGGGTTTGAGGAGAAATCTCTTTCTCTCGATTTATGTAGTGTCGGATTTGTCAAGTAATTCAATTGATTTCTTTGGATTTTGATTTGCATACTCTTTTGTATGTTTGTCGAAATGGTTGATTCATTTGCGTTTTATGAGTTTGGTTTCTCCTTGTTTTCATACGGCATAAGAACGACGCAAAACACCTTTGTCTACAACAAACAGTCCCTTGAATTTCAGAGCATTGGCAAGTCTCTTAGCTTTACAGACATGTTCAATGTTTAACATTTTTGTTGATCTGATCATTCTATGTTTAGCACTTTGGTTGATTCATTCATTTTGAGCTATATTATGTTGCGAGTCATCTTCCTCAAGAATTTGATCGTAATCATATGATGGAGTAACTTTATGATAATGTGAAATCTTACCAGTTTTAGTATAATACTGTATATAAACTTGCACAAGGTTGAGTCTTTTTTGTGCATATTATAATCATGCTTGTGTTGTGTTGATCCCATTGATTCATTTGGAGTGAGTGTTGGCTTGTTTATGTTGTTGTTGTGTTTCTGATCTATAATAGTGATTGTATTTGATTTCCAATTTTTACTTGCATGCCAATGATCCTTAGTTATCCGACTTGGGTGTCGGACAGTTCTAACCAACTATGATAGACAATTTCTTTTCTTTTTTTTCAAATCCTTCTATCAAATACCAGATTGGGCTATATCTTCCGGCTAAAGCTTAGAACTACTAATACTGGATTCCTTACAATATTTTCCATAATCGCCTCTTTGCAATTGTTTTCATAATTTATAATAAAGGAAAATTATGAAAATAATCCAAAAAACATTAAAATAAAAAATAGACCATATATTTTATAATTAATGAAATAGTCTAAAATTTATATAATTACTCCTCCGGCCAATTACGTTCTTCTCACTTCGATCAGTTTTCTCGAATCTGCCGTTGTCAAACCCGTGACCGCTGCGTCATAATCGCCTCCGCTCTCTTCCACCTCAGGATCTCCACAGGAGATGTGGTTTCAGTGTTGGCCACAATCGTTCCAGCAATAGTTCAGTTGCATTTCAGTGTTTCTATGGCTGGAGATTTGCTCTGTCCACTCAATATTTTCCGTATAAAAAAATTAGTTAATAAAAAATACATCATTCAATTTAGTTAATATTTTCCATATGAACAAAAAATTAATAAATCAATTTTAAATTTAGTTAATAAAAGAAAAATTCAAGTACAGTA